GCCCCTCTGGGGCAGCCATGCCCTCTACCCAGAGTCTGGAAAAACACAAATTTGTAAGTTAGAATACCTACATTCCAGATCTGGCTTGCTTGCTCACCCTCCTTGATTTGTCAATGTGAGGCCAGCACCAGCATCTGTTAAGTGACAGGGATAGATTTCTTTCTTATCTTTGAGGGGCCTTCAAGCCACAACATCATTCCTTCCCTTTCTACATCACATTACGTAAACAAAATATTTATCCCTCTTTCTCACTCCTACTTCACTGCTCCAAAGCAATCATTTGCATTGAAGATGTTCTCTTGGAATGTTTTTTAACCCTTGGATCTCTGAAATCCACAGTTCACTCTACTCTTCAGTACTACACTGTTTGCAGTGTTTCCCTCGTCGAACTGAGTTTTTAGCCTCTGCGGCTCTAAGTATTTGTAAGGGGTGAATGAATGTCTGGTAAAGAGCTGAACAGCCTTCTCATGGACAACCCCATGAGGAAACAATGTGATTCTAGCACAAGAGACCTAGGAACTAGCCAGACAATGAATTTCCCAGGTTTCCTTCCTAAAGAGCGGGACAGAAAGATGGTGACTAATGCATTTTGATGAATCAAGCACAAAAAAAGACTTAATTATTATACAGAGAAAAAAAAAGCCTCATCTTCTAAGGAAATAAATAGTACTTTCTGAATGGCTATGTCAAGAAGGCAAAATCACCCTCCTATTTGAAACAATTGAGGACAAAATGGTAAAGAGATACAAATAGGTAAAGAGATATAAACATGAGATTTATTCCAATCCAACTGGACCTATAGGATGTAGTTGTTGTCAAGGTTTTCAATTTTTCTTTGAAGGCATTCATTCTAGAAAAAGAAAGCAGCCAATAAAGCAGAATTAAAATGAGGAATTAAGGAGAGCTGATGTTTTCCCCTTTCTATTACCCACTACAATAATAGATCATGGTCAAGATAAAAGGATTTTAAGAAGATGACTCTAGAAGGGAGAAAGAATTGCTGAAATTAATTACATTTCCTTTTTCCCACCCCTTTAATCCTGAGAAGAAAAACAAAGGTCAAATGGTACAAACCACTAACTCAAGAACAAAACATTCAGAGGAAAGTTTGTTTTAAGTCAAATAAACAGCACTACTTTGTTGTTTTTTGGAAACATAGGAGAAAAAAATGTGGTCAAATCATTTTTGATTATCCAGGACACAGATAAAAAAGAAAAAAATATCTCTTACATTTGCTTAATTTCCACAAAACTCTTTCCCAACAATATTTCATGTACAGAGAACCAAGCTGTTGTTCACTCAACAAGTACAGAGTAAGCATCTACCGCTACCTTTCCCTATTTAAGGTATTTGGAGTGAATATGGTTGCTGATGACCCAACTCAGACGTACATCCTAAATGTCTAATTTTAAGTCAAATTTTAATGCCCCACAGGTTAATAATAATCATGCATCTGATAATTGTCTAGATCTGAGAATCCTTACTTTAGGAGATGCAAAAATAACTAAGATAGTTCTTGATTTCAGGGTGCTTACATAATTGATAGCGAACATACCAATTTTTAAAAATAAAGTTAAAAATGAAAAGAAATGACTGAAGAGGAACAAATTACCTGCTCTAAGCATTCAGAAAAGGGAGAAATGATGGGCCAGTGGGAGTTGTGAAGGGAATAACAAGACCTCACATAAGTAGGCATATTTGTGTTAGGATAGTTATGATTTTAACATGCAAAAGTAGAGGAAGAAAATTTTACTATTATAACTAATAATAATAATAAACTAAACCAGGAATGGTGGCACACACCTGTGATACCAGTTCTCTGGAGGCTAAGGCAGGAAAATTGAGTATTCAGGCCAACCTGGGCTACTTAGCAAGATCCTGTCTCAAAAATAACTACCTAAATAAATAAACTATGACGGTTGCTGAACACTTTATATCAATCATCTTTTAAACTAAACCTCAACCAAGAAAGTAGTTCTAATATTCCCCTATTTTGCAGATGGGAAAACTAACACTCAGAAGGCTTATGTAATTTGCTCTTAGACTTGAATATCTGATTTATCCTATTCTAAATACTACATGCTTCCTAAGAAGAATAAACAAGGCCAAGTGATACAAATAGGTCAGACATAAGACAATGCATCCATCGTTTCCTTTGGCTAGAAAGTGGCAGAGTTGTGGGAGATAAGACTGGGAAAGATAAGGGGAAGTGAGGCTGTGGATGCCTCACTGTGGGTGCCTTAAGACATTTGGACTCTATATAGTACCAAGGGAAAACCACTGAAGTTTCTCATCAAAGAATGCTTCAGCAACAGCTGTCTTAGGTTTTGCATGAATCATGAATTATATCTTACAATCTGAAATGATAAAAATCACCTTGCCTTTACACAAGAAAGTGTGGCAAGGAACCAGATGGAACTACTGTCTCAAAGCTGTTCAGACAAATTCCTAACATGCCAGGTCTCACTGAAGAGTAGAAGAATCAAGGAATATTCTAAACAGCAGTAACAAAGAGAAATGAAGGGAGTGCCTGTGACCCCACAGGATAAGGGCCTACTCATTCCTGGAGCTGTCCAAATCTGGCATAAGGATAACCTTAGGGAATGCAGCTTTCTCCTGAAACCTGAGACTATCACACAGGCCTGGGATCAGTGATCAGCAGAGTCCAGACTCCTGACTCCCAGTCCTATGCTCATTTCACCAAATCGTGTTGGTCTGCCACTAAATATGTGACACTGACCAAGCCCCTTCCCCTTTCTGAGCATCTTTTTCCTCATCTGTGAAAAGAGAATTTTAAGTCAATGGATTTGAAATTTTAGAATTGTCAATGGGTCTTCCTCTTCAACACACACATAAAAGATCTGCCTCCCTTGGAAGCTACGCCTCCTGAGAGCTTCTGCAGTTTATAAACCTTCCTGCTGAGAATAGTTGTACTTCCTTAGCTCTGTGAAGACTTCCAGTCTTCACTGCATTTGATCTGACCTAGGATTATATTTCTAACTGGATTACTGATGTCAAAAGTAATTCAATAACACAAGGGGTCATGATCATATCCAGACACAAACAAGGAATGCCTCATCTTACCAGTGAATGAATACCTCAGAAGTCAGAGCCTGAGGAAGTATGCATGTGAGTACATACACATGTGTGTTTATGAATAAAAACTCCTAGAAGACAAGCAAATACTAAAACTGTAGAGTTATCAAGGGGAAAGGGTAGGAAAGAACCATGATGCATCTTTTAGATATTAACAAACTCCAACCATCACAAACAAAATCTCAAAGTGGTAAAAATATTTCCTTCATGAGAGAATATCAGTTATGTAGATTCAAGAAACTTTGCCTGTCAGAGTGGAGGTGAAGTAGGGAGAAGATGAAAGTCTTGCTCTGTTCTCAGAAACACTGCTGATGGTACAGAAAGGCACGTACAAAGCTGACTATTTTTGAAGGAACTTCTTAAACATCATTGGTTCATAAGAAAATGCCCAGTGGTTCACTCACAGAGGTGACCATTTGTGACTTGTTCTTATAACCAATGTACAGCGAATGTTTGAAGCCTGTTAAACCTAAGACTTTACCTTCTATGACCTCCAAGCAGGGAACGGGAGCAGGAGATGACTGATATATGATAATATTAACAGTAAAGCAAACATAATTATAGAACAAATTACCCCACATATTAACAGTTACCTCATGGTAATTTATTTTTAAAGTACCAAACATGAATATTCATTCCTTCCCTGGATCTAAGAAAGCAAAATCTGTCCAACATATGTGACTGAACCATCAGCAAGATGGCTAGTCTCACATCTGAGACACCTGGGTGGACCATGCTACAGCAACCATGCTGCATTGGGAGCTATCTTTGCTGTCAGGTACTCAAGATCCCCTCTGTCCAGAAATGACTGATTTCTGGAAGACCACAAAATACTACGCCACTCATTTAAAAGGAGCCACGAATTATGCTTAATACATGCCTTAGCAAATCCAGCAGAAGACAGAGGTGAGCAGAAGGCAAGAACTAGAGAAGATACTTCTTCCTCATTATCTGACCAAGGCACTAGTCTAGTGAACCTTAGTTAAGCACTCTGGAGTTTCACCTTTCTGGGAGTTGTAAACCTGAAAGTCCTATCACTTGTAATGGCAGAAACTTTGTAGCCTGAGCTGATAGGCATTTGGAGGTCTGAACATGGTATGTATTTTTATCTCCTTGGAAATGTAGCCTGGTCCATTTGCCAGCACTACCAACCAACCAGAGGTGCCACTTCTCCAACAGCTCTAGAAACGATCATGATATATTGACTTAGAAAGCCAGAAGGTGGAAAAAGAGTGTGAATTCAGAGCAACATGGTAAAGTAGGGGTGGGAGTTGAAGAACTCATTCTAAATTCTTTTCTGAAGCATCCAGATAAATCTTCAAAATTGTGGTAAATATGCCATTTTACACTGAAAACCTCACGACCCTAACTTCAGGAAAATTAAGTACACAAAAATAAAACCAGAAAGCACTAGGTATCTGATGCAGATACAAACCTCCAGGACTAGAAGCCCTCTATCAAATGAGAAAAAGTCGGCCTTGTAGATTCTTTCAGTGAGGCTGCCTCACACATCCTCATCTCCAAGTGTACTTTATCTGTCACCTTTGATCTTTACTTTTTTGTAGGTGAAGAGAAAAGAAACAACTCTGTTTATGATCAGGTCTACTTTTAATTCTGCTACCTTGAGGGTAATCTATGCAAAATTTAAGAAAAAGGTGTAGATCACAGTGTAGGAGAAGTGAGGGAGAGAAGTCAAAGAGAGATGAGGATGGACCCTGCCCAAGTTCGTCCATCTACTCTTGGGTACATGAGCTCGGTCCACCCGAGGTCTAGCTTCAGAAACATGAAAAGAGTATTAAAGGGCAGAGCAAGGAACATCGAGATGAGTGCAGCAGTAGGGAGAGCGCACCTAAGGGCCCACCGGGGATGGTAGTTGTGGAAAGGCGCGCACTCTGGGTAGGTACCTTGAGGTAGGCCCGCTGCAGGTAGTTGTAGGGTACTCTGCGCTGGAAGTCGCTGCGCACATCCTCGCTGACTCGGTGTCTGGACTCGGGTCCTCCGAGGCGCTGGGTCTCGCAGCTGCGGTAGCAGCGCGCCCGCTCCAGCAAGGCGCGGAAGAAAGGCAGCTCGGCCCCGGGACCGGCCCCGGGGGGCGCGAGCGGGCGGCGTGCGCACAGTGGCGGGCACAGCGCGTGCGGATCTCCCGCAGGCGCCGGTGGCTGCGCAGCGCCGCTTCCAAGTCGCGCACTGCTTGCTCGTAATCCCCGCTGTAATAGGCAGCCACGCCGCTGGCGTAGAGCAGGTCGAAGGGCTGCAGAGGCCCGCGTTCAGGCTCCAAATCCTGGCGCCGGCTGTCCGGGGGACCGCCCCACAGCGGCGGCGGTAGCAGCAGCAGCAGCAGCAGGGACGTCCAGATGCGCTCCCGCATCCTCTGCGGCAGAGAGGCGCTGGGCGGCCACGCTCCGAGACGGCTCTGCGGCACCTCGCGTCCCGGCCCCTGTCCCACCTTCACGGGCTAGCTCGCGGGTACCGCAGAGATCTGGCTCCCGACAGCCCCAGGTGACTGCTGGCGCTCCGCGGACCTAAAAGGCCGAGGTTCTGCCGGCCAGCCGCTCTTAAAGGGACGCCCACAGCTCACACGCTCCTCCTGCTGCCGAGCCTCCGCAAGCCGCGCTCCCAGGCGCTCTGAAGCAGCTGCGGGGCTGCACACTCAATTGCCAGCCAGAGAGCTAGCGCCACTTGAGGCCAACCCAGGACAAGGAGCTTTACACGTGGGTTCTTTCCTAGGTTGCAGAAGTGGATTTTATTTCTTCGTTTTTTAGACATGAAGAAAATCCAGCTTAATGATTTCATTTTCTGGAATCTACATGGATGGCCTTGTAGTTTGTAAGTCCTTTACCGTCAGATGAAGCCCAAAGCTCCATCTCAGGCTTTGTGTAAAGCACTAGAGGGACCCTAAATCTAGTTGAGGAAGTTTGAAAAGAAAAGCGGTTTGCCCAAGTTTATACACGTGAAAGTAGCAAAGGAAGGACTCAACTCCGAGCCTTTGGAATCAGTTTCCTTTTTCTTGCCTTCTTAGCCCACTGTGTGTGCATGTGAGTTCTTGCATTGCAACAGAGGACTGGGGCAGGGAAAGAAAAATTAAGATCCTGCCTTTTCTGTGAGGACCTTGGCATGGGACACAGAGAACTCCTGGAGGAAGGTGAAGCTGTGCTTCCGCCTCTGCCAATGTTCCAGCTATGTGACCTTGTGCAAGTGAGCCTCAGTTTCTTTATTTTAAAGCAGCTAAACGCCCAACATGTAAAATTGTATGCATATATAAATTCTTATCGTAAGAATTGAACAAAGAAGCAACTTAATAAATCCAGTGCCCCAGGACTTAAGCAATGAACATCAATCTAGGAACTGGAAAGGTGACAGAAATAACTGCCGGACTGCAAGGAGCTAGCTGGAGGCTTTCCTGTTCCTCTGCTTCTCCTCTTTGTAAATACCTTCTTAGCCAAGGTGTTCCCCACTTTTCTGTCCCTTGGATCATTGCTCTCAGAATAATGTGTGCAAGAAGATGTGCTAAATAAACCCTGGACTCCAGCCTGTTTCCCCACGGGGAGGGGGGAGGGCATCCCATTTGTCTCCTGTTGCATGCAGGAATCTTCACCATAGTCTTTTGGCCTCTGGAATGGTGCACAGTAGAGGACAGGCAATGCGAAAGAACCACAGGTATCATCTAGTGTATTTGAATTTCCCAAAGAAGGTTTTTGTAATGAATCACCACTGTGCTGAGAAGGTTGCCAGATAGTCATAGTCATTCCTTCATTCATGTCTTTAGATTTCACCATCTGGCCACCAACAGCTCTAGCTGGAGAATTTCAAGAGAAACTGAATCTTGTTCATATTATTTTTTCCACCAATCCTCACTAATGTGTCTAAGTCATCTCATTCCACTGATGGAAAAGCTCCAGTTTGGAGCCAAATGTACACTGGATGCCTTGGATGCACAATGTTCCAGAATTAGCACTTGGGTCATCTGCCCAGACTTTTTGTCTAGAGATTGTCTCTGTTTCAGGTAAGACTCTGGAGTCTAGATTTATTAATCCACTTGTGAAAGAGTTTGAAGCACATTAGGGTAGGAAAAACTGCCGTGGGATTATAACAAAGTGCCAGGGTGTTTGTGATATTTCATTTCTACTTCCAGAGATATTTCTTTCATATGTGACAATTAAATTCATATCTTTGAACACTTACCTTCAATATGCGTATTATATGGAAAGAACAGATGATTAAGCAAATGTCTTGTTTATCTCCGGGGAGCTCACAGTGTTGTCCTGTTGATATGTAGGACTATAATACAGTGTGAGAATATGGTACATACTGGGTTAAGTTCAACATGCCATGGGAATGCAGGCACTGAAACAATGGCCTCTGGAGGGAAACTTAGGGGAAATATTGACACCAGTGCAGAATAAAAGCCTTTGGACTATAGTTATACAAACATCTGGCTATGGCCTTTCAAGCTTCCTGCCTGCCCTTCTATCTTGTTTCCTTTGGCACAATCTGAAACCATTTAGTTAGCACCTCAGCTTTTCTGAATGTTGCAATGATCTGACAAACTTACCTGGTTCTTGCTCTGAGAGATTCTGATTCAGTTGGTTTGAGGTATGACCTGGCCACCGGGATTTTTTAAAAGTTTCTGAGGTAATTCTAAGATAAAGCCAAGGTCGGGATGGGTGTGGTGGCTCACATCTCTAATCCCAGTTACTCAGGAGGCAGAGATCACGAGGATCACAATTTGCAGCCAACCTAGGCAAAAAGTTAGTAAGATCTAGCTCAACAAACAAGCTGGACATGGTGGGGACATGATTATAATCTCAGCCACTCAGGAGGCACAGGCAGACGGACCACAGTCCCAAGTGTACCAGGGCAAAAACACAAGAGCTTATTTAAAAAAATAACCCAAAACAAAAATGACTAGAGGCATGACTCAAGAGAGAGGACACTTGCCTAGCAAGCAAAGGCCCTGAGTTCAAACCTCAATACTGTCAGGAAGGAAGGGAGAGAGGGAGGGAGGAAGGAAGGAAGGAAGGAAGGAAGGAAGGAAGGAAGGAAGGAAGGAAGGAAGGAAGAAAGAGAAGATAAAGCTAAGGTTGAGACCCACTGATCTGAAAATGTCTCACGATAAAAAAACAAATGTCTGTAAATTGGGCTTCCAGGTGCTGTGAGAGATTGATGAGTCTGAGATTTGGAAGTAGGTAAAACTTTTGCCATCCCTCAGATCAGCTTTCCACAAGGCCTATCTAATTTGCCTTTTGAGGCTGATCACGTCAAAAGGAGCATGACCATATAGTGCAGAGAATTTAATTCCCTGATATGCTCTACCCAACAGTAACTTCTGTGTGGAAAAACACAGTCCTCCAATGGTCTCTTGCACTCCTGAACTGCTTGCTGGGTATGTCAAGAACATACTTAGCTGGGCCATTTCTCAGACAACAAACTAGAACCCATCTCAGAGTTCCTGATTCACCAAATCTATTGTGAAAAATTTGCATGTGTCTCACTATGTAATCCATTCTGTTCCCAAACTTCCAATATATTCCAGGCTGGCCTCATATTCACAATCTTCCCAGATCAGTTTACCAAGTGCTGGATTATTGATACTACCATACATGTCCCAAATTTGCATTTAAAACAAGTTCCTTGCTGATACTGATGCACTTTGTACAGGAACCATCTTTCATTGTCCAATTCCTTATGAATAGTGGTTCTCAAACTTTGTTGTTTTATCAAAAACCCAATCAAAAAAGAAAACTATTTAGGTCCTAGCATTTCAAAGTAAAATCGAGTGTGGACCTTTATGTTTTTACTAAGTTCTCAGGGATTCTTATATTCTCCCAAATTTAGGAACCAGTGCTTTAGTGACTTAATGCAGTAATTCTCAAATGGGGATGATAGTAGCCAGCCAGAGACATTTGACAATGTCCAGAGATATTTTTGATTATCAGCTAGGTAGTGGGAAAGGGAAATAGTCACACTATTGCTGTCTAATGAGTAGAAGCAAGGGACGATGTTAGCCATCCTATAATATACAGGACAAGCCACACACAAGAAGGAATTATAGCCCTAAGTATTAATATCAATACTGCCAAAGTTGAACTTGAACCCTGGAACAGAACATAATTTGGTACTGTAAACTTTGTTTAAGTTCCCTTATACAAATGAGGAGGATTAGACTTACAGGTCACTTGAATAAGCAGTAGCAGGAGAAAAATGCTTAATTTTATGCACTGAAATATAAATCACATATGCTAAATGTCATTTATATTTTGGTGAATTCCGTTCTTTAGAAGAGAAAAGAAGTACATGAAAATAAGAAAGAAAGAAACTGTTAAGAAGAGAATTGTTGGAAACATAAGATGCTGAAATTTCTACCAAGATAGGTATGAACTGGGAGCTGAAATTTCACTTTTGTTCCCAATTCCTTACAAATTCAAAAGACAGACAAAGCCCAGGAGAGCCAATTCAAAAGCTTTAAAAGGGATTCCATCATTTCCTTTTTTATTATATTAGGAATGTATCTTGACAGAAGCCTGAATTTCCTTTTGACTTCTGTTTACAAGTCAACAACATTATTACAGCAGCTTGCATTAGGGAACTATCAGCAGAAAGGGATTCAGAAAGAGAAGATCTTCACACACTTCTTAGTTTCCCCAAATCTTTTGGATTTTTTAGAGCTGATTTGTCCCCTTTTTAAATCTGTATGGAAGAACAGAAAGTATACTCAGACTTGAGCAGTAGATTTAATCAACACTTTCCATAAGCAAATCTGATATTCATTTATTTTGATCACGTGTAACCAGGGCTTTTACTTGCCACAAACATCTTTGACTCCTTTGAAATGAAAGAAATAATTCTCACTGTGCAACAACCCAACCCGTGTTCAGCTGCTGTTGATGCTGGCGACAAGGAAAGCTGTTTTGAAGACTTTTTTTCTTAGCCAAATAGGGTCATCTGAAGACTTTTTTTCTTTAAATAAGCCATTATGAGTCAAGCCACCAACAATCTGTCAACATAAGAGAAGAAAAAGGCCTCTCTAGAGAAAGAGGTTTTTTTTTTAGAAAAATTAATATTTAACTAACATTTAAAATCAAACAGGGGCTGCTGCATTCCAGGACTGGCTGTTCCTTTCAGTATTTTAAGTAACTCTGCCCAGTGCTTACCTTAATGCTAGACTAAGCTTTAAAATTCCAGCTCAAACGAAACATGCAAGCACTCTGTCCTCACATTCATATTATAGACACATTCTAACTTCATCCCTTGGGGAGACTCACATTTTGTTCAACAACAACAAAAAGAGGTAGATAGGTAATAAGCAATGCCAATTATCCCCAAAATAATATTAGCCCAAAACACCATTCATAGTGAAATCCAAAGACTGGATATTATGCCAATTCTTTTCTCAAACTTTAAGTCACTTAACTTTCAAGAGTCCATTTGAATAAGGCAATAGTGCTGTGGTTTTCCCAATGAGAAACCAAGGCTTGTAAAGGAGAAGTGACTTGC